AGCCTTTCTTTATTTTTTATTGAACTACTAAATATAAGTCTGTATACTATAATATTAATATTTTATAACTTGGATCAAAATTTCATAAAGATATTGAAAACTAGTTATATATCAATAATAAATAACGGTTATTATTTTAATTATCTGTTTCGAAATTTTTAAAATTTCCCATTATTAAAATAATAAAATTAATTTTACTGATTATAAAATTATTAACCATATTTTAATCACACTTAACGTGGCAAAAATAACTGTATTATAAAAATTTTGTAAACAAATAACATCCAATTAAAAGTTAAGTATTGTGGTTATTATAAAAATTGCATTATCATTTTAATGCAACCCTTTGCTTATACATACAATAATTTGAAAAAACAAAAAACTGGAATTACCCGCGATAAATATTTTAAATTTTAACTTCAAATAATTCTTTTAAAAATAGGAAAATATTTTCAAAAGGATTTCACAATTTAAAATAAAAATAAAATGGCGCTTATTATATTATGGCGCCTTAATTGTAAACCTATAGAATTCTAAAATTAGATAACCGTTTTGAAAATAATATGAAAGTAAATTAATGTGATAAGAAAATTTATTTATATTTGATATTTCAATTTTGAAATTGTTATATAAGGGTGTATAACAATTTCGTAAGTAAAATACAAATTACATATGTACGTACATATATTTGTATATTAAAAAATTGGTTTTGCTGGAAAAATATTTAAATGTTATACAACTGTTTATAATATAATATGTATGTTGATGGGGTATGTATACATTATGTATGTGTATCTGAATATCTTCCGAGTCAAATAATATAATATAAATTACACCATGTTATACTGTTATATATCATACATAACAATTATATTTTATACATGCGATGATTCCTCTATTCCAGGAGTAGTTAAGACTGCTTTACTTACAAAAGTGTTATACCTACGTCGAAAGTTTTCGCTTAGTTTTATTTCAATTTTAGCATTTCTTGATTGTTAAGTAATATATGTATGTACATACATATGTTTGTATATAACTACCATATAACTGTTGTTAAACTTGTGTTATTAAATCATTCTACTATTAAGTATTCCATTAAAAATATAAAATTCCAGAAATTCAAAAAAATTTTTTTTTGTGGTTATAAATGAAAAAAACTATTACAATACTGGGAAAAATGAATGAAATACGAATTAAAAAACCATACGTGCTACGTATTTTAAAAAAAAAATTATAAAATAAAAATCCTTTAGAAAGATTTAAAATTTAATTTAGTCTTTATTTTGAAAATACCCAAAACCACAGGGGATCTACTTTTTTTTTCTGTTCTTCTCATTGTTGTTCGTTTTCTTTTAAATTAACCTTACAATTAGTAATATTATGATTTGTTAACGAGGGAGTCACATTTTTATAAATATGATTTTATTTTTTTTTTTCTGTCACCTACTCATTTTTTTTTTATAATTGCACGCATATTACCAATATTAATCAGAAATTATCATTTTTGCCATACAAAGTTCAATAATATATTTTTTTTTTTTTCAAAATTATTCATAATAATTTTTAATGTGTTTTAAAGGCACATCAAAACGAAATGAACTCAAAACCAGTTCAATGTTCTAATCGACAAGTTGTTATATATAATATGTACATACACAAATACTTATTATGTTTATAACAGTATACAATATGTTGCAAATTGTAGAACGCAATTTATTATTATTTTTTATAATTTTCATGACATTTACTATAAACTTGTTATTTACATGTGATTTTTAAAGAGTGCCATTTCAAAATAAAAAAGATCAAAATTCGATAAACTTCCTTTTCTTGTAAGGTCAGCTATATTAATGTACAAGATACGTACATACGATCGTATACGTGAATTTTTACTCCTACAAACATAAATTAGTATGTATATACAAAAATATGTATTATAAATAATTCAATCATATTATCACATGTTATAATTACTTTATATTTTAATTATAAAATATAACATAAAATTTTAAAAACAAAATTAAAAAGTTCATCAAACTACAAAACCTACATACTACAATACCTGCATGTACTCTACCTATAAGAAAATTAAACCGTATATAATGAAGGTTCATAACTTTTCAAAAATTTTGAAATTTTATAGCATTTACTGTATAAAGTGGCGGCTCGATTAAACGTTTAAAGTCACATTATTTTCTCACACAAAATTCTATTTAATATATTAAACAAAACAATAAAAAAAAATAATTGCAAATAATAATAAAATAAAAATTAATAAAATAAATAAACAAACACTTACTAATATAAATGTCAAATAATTTTTTAAAAGTGCATTAACATTTAATTAATAAATTAGCAATAATAATAACAATATGTGTGTGAATTTGTGCACGTACATATCAAATGCATTTACAAATAAGTTTACAAATTATTCGATCAAATTTCATTGAACAATTTCATTTTTGTTTGTTTTTTGTTTTTTATGTGTGTCCAATAACCTTTGAATTTATCCCTGTATAACCTAACTTGAACCCAAATAAAAATTTTTTTTGATATATTTTTTGGGGGGAAAAATTAAAACGTTTGTATACAAAACGTTTAGAGAAATATCACAATAAAATATCGTGATAATTTATTGGATTTATAATTATGTGTTCAATTAATATATTTGAATTTATATTTGGCTACATAATAATTGTAAAATGAAATAATATTCCCGAATTTAATGTCGGGTATTTTGTTTCTCCCAATTTTTTTTTTTGCAAATTTTCACCGTTTTGTTCACACAAAATTAATTATCAAAAATTATAATAATATTATCAGCACATTCACACGTTCATATTTATATATAAATAATTATTATTAAAATATATTAATTTATGTACTCATATTGCTAATAAAACAGTTGTAAAAATAAAAATAACCAAAATAAATAAAAACAAAAAATATACGTTTTACAACGTTTGCAAAATTTTTACTATACAAATTTGTTATTTATTATTTTTTTAAAGATCAGCAAAAATTTCCATACAAAACAATATAAATTTAATTACATATTATACATTTGTACATACTTTTATACGAATTTTTTATATTATTTTAACCTCTGTAAAATGTTCCCTAATATTTTATTGACCTTTTACTGTCAACACAACTTTTAATATTCGCGGGAAAATATTAATTTTGTTTTATTTTCTGATTTTTTTTCCCCCCGATTTATGTCTGTACTTATTATTATTATTTTATTTAAATGAATTTAATTAAATTGTTTTGTTGTCTTATATTTTTTTAAGAAATAAGAAAAAAAAATTTTATTATGAAATTGAAAAAAACAGTATAAAAATAATAAGCAGAATTAATTAATTTTTTTTTTTTAAATAATAAAATTTAATCTATACTTATTTGTATTTCATCTTTAACGTAGAACTGGTTTTTTCAATAAATTGATAATTGAGAGAGGAGAGAGAGAAAATTTCTTGTAAAAAAATAAATACATACTTATGAATTTTATTATTGTTTATTTTGAAAATAAAAATTTAAAATTACAAATAATTGTTATGATAGTTATTATCATGCTGCAATTATCTATAAACATGAACTGATTTTAATGCGTACACATTTTAAAAGAATAATTGCCGAAAAAATAATTATTTAGAAAATATTGATGTTGGTCTGAATTGATAACAATTTTCCCATCTCTAACTAGAGAAAAATAATTCGAAAATTGAATGCAAATAACATTGATTTTACCAAACAAACCTAAAATTGTAGTTGCGTCATGCCTTAATCTGTATGCAATATAGGAATATTCGCTTTTTAAACTGAGTTGAGCGTATTGGGCTATAGTAATGTAATGTTATGTACTGTAATTAACAACTCAACACTTCCTTACCTAAGTGCATAAGCAGAATTGTTTATTAATAACAATATAGGTACTTATAAAAATATTAGACATAAAATTATTTATGAAAATTATTTTTCAAGTTTAGGTGTTCAAATGAAAATGATATAAGAATATTTTATAATTATTTCATTTATTTTAAGAATTTTACATTAATGCAGGATTATTAACCCGGTGATCAGAAATGACAAAAATTGTTATCATTTTAATTTAATAATCAATGTAAATTTACAAATAATTTTAAAAATTTCTAGTCACAGTGAATGCTTTCGTATATACATTTTGTGTTAACAAATTTTCTAACTCACCAGTTTTATATTACTAAAATTACAAATAATCTCAATTATACCATAATTTATAATGTATGGAAACCATTAACCAAAACAGTTTCTTCCTATAAAATTTTCTATATTTAAATCATAATTCCTCTAACTATACAACATAAAGCATTACAAATTTTATATGAACTGATGATGATAGTATTTTTATTCCCATTAATTCCATTATTTTATATATGTATGTATGTAAATAATTTGAAAGATAAAATGCCAATTTGTAAGAAAATTCATAAAATTTTTATATTTAATATTAAATAAAATTTCACCCAAAAATCACCCAATATAAATTTTATAAAATTAAATAAAAATCATAAAAATCAGTATAAATTTTCTGAAAAAAAAAAAATTGTCACAATTCACAAAGTGGCTGTATTCTTTAGAATTCGGTTTTCTTACAGTGAAACAGATGAACGTACTTGACTGACTTTTCAATTTTCTTCTCAAAATATTAAAAAGAAAAAAATTAAAATTAAAATCAAAATAAAAAATATTTCAAAAAAAAACCCAACCACATAATATGGAAACCGTCTAAAAGGCAATTTTTTTTTTACACAATTTTTATGTTTGTTTTATTTATTATAATTTTTTTTTTCTTATTTTTGCAATTCTTAGAAGTACTAAAGTTTAAATCGGTTAATTTATACCGAAATACAAAATTTATATAAAACTTTTATTTTACAGTGTATGTATTAATATTTCAAAAGAAATTCCCCGGTTATTCTAAAAAAAATACCACTACAAACATACAAAATTGAGAAAAAATACTAAAAATATACAAGATTTTTAAATTTCCCATGTATTTCTATTGAAAAGCTTAAAGCTCTTTTAAAAAAAATTCCCTAAAGAGAAATCGGGTATATAAACAAGTGTAACTCGTTAAATTGGCAATTGTGAAATTCAAAGCAAAACGGAATAGACGGAATAAAAAAATAAAAAATTTAATAAGAGCGGTTAAAAAAAGATAACAAGCGGTATAAAAAATTTAATAATTATTTTGAAGATAATTAATTTCAAGTGGATAATTTCATAATAAAATTATTTGATAAAAAAAATAATAAATTGAAAGCGTATGATTTGATTGCATAATTCAATTAATAAATAAAAAAAAAAAGACAATTATTATTAAAAAAGTGTGAAAAAAATTAAGACATTTGAAAAAGACATTTTTATTAAAAAAAATTTAAGAAGATTATAAAAACAATTTAAAAAAAAAGACTTGAAGTCACAAATTAAAAAACAAATTACAAATTAAATAAAAAATAAAAAGAACATTAAATAAGTTAAAAGCAAAAAGACATTTTTAAATTATTATCAAGTGATTAAATTAAAATACTGGGTACATACAACTCAAATTTAAAAACAACACAAAAAAGCAAAATGGTAACTATGGATATACTTAGCGAAGAACGCAAACAACTTATGAATAGTAAAATAAAAGCATTTGAGGTCGACTATGATCCAATTGGTCGTACCATTAAAAATGCTCTACTTAAATCACAATCTGAATCAAGACTTATTGTTGGATTATCAGCTGCTATTAAAGTTTTATCAAGTGCACCAGAAGGTTCATTAATTTGTATACTTGCTGAACCAAAATTAGGTGATTCTGGTACACATATACATGAAGTTCTATTGGAGGCATTCTGTTATGAAAACGATATCTATGTTATTAAAGTTGATAGCGCTGAAAAATTAAGTCGAATTCTTGGTAAATCAACAACAGAATCATGCTGTTTAATACAAAAAATATGGACAGATGATGGTACTGAACAATTAACAAAATCAGAAAATATTCTTGTTGATCATTGTGAAGCAAATTGGGATTCACCAACACAACCCGTTATTAAGTTACCTGCTGTATGAAGTAGCCATTTTGAAATTAAGCATAGTGCTTAAAAAGTAACCAAAACAAAAAAAAAAAAAACAGAAAATTAAAAGGAAACTTTATTGTGGAACTTTAAATAATCTTATCAAAGTGTATTATTAAAAATATTATTAATGAGGGATACACTCAATTAAATTGATATAGTGGAGAGTGTGTCATGAATGATAATCACATATTATATGGATTTAAAATTATTTCCTTTATATATATATGGAAATTCCCGAATCGTATTAAACTGCGTATTAATTAATATACAGGAATATTAATAACTTATATTTAAGTTAAACTATCAAACAAAATAATATAACTAAACGGATATTAATACGAAGAATATGTAGTTTAATATGAAAAAAAATAATTAAAAATAAATAAAGAAAAAATTATGAGAAAAAACGAATGAAAACTTGTGTATATATAAAAAAAAAAAACATTTAATAGAAATATGAAAATAGAAACAAACTTTAAAACAACTTGAATTCATAGTGTTTAATTTATTGCAAAAAAATTATTAAGTCAATCCGTGACAAATTAAAAATGTATGCATTAAATCCAGAAACAAGAAGAAATATCAAGTTAAAGTGAAAGTTTGTCAAACAATATTTTCTTTAAATGAAAATTAAATGGCTATAAGGATTATACACAGTGAACAACTTATAAAGTAGGTAGCTGAAGAAATGCAGGAATGATGTTGAAATATGAATTGAGGATTATAGAAATAAATGAATTCGAGAGAATTGAAAAAAAAAAATAAATCTAGTTTATAAAATAAAAATTATGCATTTGTAATAATTAATTAGTACATTTTTTGATCAAAAGAATTGTTGAAAATTTTTCAAAAATTGTAAATTATAAAATGCAAAATCACATTAGCAAAAAAAAAAAGTTTGTAAATATTGTAAAAAAAAAATAAATTGCAATGTTAAAAAAATCTGAGCTAAATATGTAAAACAAGAAATTAATGAAAAATGTATATTTACTAAACAACAACATTGAAAATAAACAAAGTATTTAAATATAAAATTTTTATTTGTTATTATTCAAAACTGTTATATAGCTTTTCAGATTAATATCCTTTTAAGAATTTAATGTATAATTTCTTATCCTTTTCAAAAGAAATCGTAAGATAACAATAAATATGAAAGAAGAGAGACACTGTCTGACCTTGTGATTAAATATCGTATGATTTTTCTGTTATTCTTGCAAAAACAATAAAAGAGAAGAAATATAAAAGAATTCCAAGAAATATTTCCATGAACATACAAACAATTTATGTGTTTTTATATTTAAAAAAAAAATCCCTTAATGTTTGTTCATTCGCCTCCTCAAAAAAAAACCAAATCAAATTTTATACACATCTTTACAAATCTATGTATAAAATATGAAATCTACAAAAAACTCTCTCGCATATAAACTTTTTAGAAATTACGTGTTCTAAGAAAATGAGAAAGAAAATGAGAGAATATTTTATTTTAGTTCTAAATATTAATACGGAAAAGAGAAGAGGAAAAGGAAAATTCCTTTGAATTATTATGAATGAAGAAACGTTTAATATTATTATTAAATCAATAAAATGCTAAAATAGGGTTAAGAAAGTGTGGGGGAGGTGAACAATGTAAAAAAAAAATAACAATGCAAATGCCAACACATACACATACATATGTACATAATTGAAAAAAATGTCTTATTTGGAAATATTCCCATTTAATAATTAAAGTAGAACTAATGGAATGCTTGGAATTTCAAAAATTTTTATTAATAAAACACAATGTAATGTCAATAAGAAATTATATTTGTGGAGTAAATGAAAAGGGGTAAGGGAGGAATACCCTATATTTGTAATAGATAAATACATAAGTACGTTCCTTATACATATATGTATATTTTTTATTATTAAATCATAATTGTTTATTTAATAAAGTACTTGAAATAAACAAATAAAATAATTTCAAAATTTGATTTTTGTACACACTTGAAACTGCAAATTGAATTTCATAGAATCGATTTGTTTATTATTTTGTGAAATTTTTAAATTACATTCTACATTTTCCCCCATATGTTGTAGAGAAATAAGAACATAGAAATACGGACAAGTGTGTTTGCAATAAATTGTGTTGTAAAATAAGAAAGCAATTAAATATTAATGTGTCGGCTACTGAACTGCTAAGAAAAAAGCAGAGAAAATAAACGTTTGAATTTTGAATTCAAAAATTTATTATAACATTATATTATATATGTATATTTTTGATATTCATATGTACATAATATTTTCTTTTTGGTATATTACAATTTTTACAACATTTTAGATTTTACGGTTCATTAGCGTATACATTGTATTTTGAAATATTAAATATTCATATAGTGTACTCCGAATTTAGCTTTAATGTAGATAGGTTTCTGTATAGAAATCTGCTACTTGCCAAAATTTTTATGGAGAACACTAAGCAATCTTAGTTAATTCTGTATATTACTGAGTGAGCGAGTTAATACATATGTGTTTCCATATGTTCTCATTTTGTGGCTATTCTCACTGTTTTACTTTCTAGATCTCTTAACAAGTTTATTAAACTCGTAATTTCAAGACTTTAGAATTATTTCAAATTTAAATCAAATTCCAATCCATTTTATGATCAAACATTTTCAAGATGTGGTTAATAAATTTGTTAAGCTAGATCATCTACACACAAATCATTTCCTTCCCAAATAAAGCAATACTGTTACCACTATAGTGCAAATCAAAATTATTTTTTGTATTTATATGTGTTAATCATGTATAATATAATGGTAAAATATTTAGAAAAAGAATTTTCTAAAAATAAAAATTCTTTTGAATTTTTTCTAAAAATAGAATTAAATAAACATTCATAGCATATGTATAACACACGCATATATACATATGAATTGTTATAATATGAAATGAATGTTGAGTATTTTATGTTATCTAAGTTTTTTTTTTTTTTGAACAAGAGCACCCTATTGTTATTCTATATTATATGATAAATGAACGTAAGAAAATCGATTAAATGAACGTTTTAAAGAGGAAAGGGTGCTTATTATATAAATTCGCTATAATGTTAAAATTATTATGTCAATATGGTATTTTTTTTCTTGATTTTATATAACAACAGAAATATACTCATTATAGATATTATATATATACCGTAATATTAACGTTGATTATATTATTTAATAATTATACATATTCAAATTGAAAGGAAATAAAAATATATTACTTATAGCAATGGATCAATGATAAATACTGGAAATTCCATGCGTACGTAGTAAAGCAATTCCGTAGTACGTAGATAAGTAATGCAGCAGCCCCTATTTTCACATAACGTATATGCAAATTTTACATAACGTAAGTTTGACATAACATATTAAGATTAATAATATTGAAAATCATAAAGTATAATTGGTGTAAAACGACCCGAAATTTTAAATAAAGACCCGTTAAAGTTACTTTTGACTAGTATGGCCTTACATACTTCATTATAGGCGGCGCGCCTAGTACGCATTACGTTTCGTTGGAAAATATTTTTATTCATGTAACTTTTTAGTGTAAATGTGTACATTTTTTTTTTTGGCAAATGAATATTTTAAACATTTTAATACAAATTAACATGTGTGTTTGTTCTATAACTGAATATTAATTATGTACTTTATACACAATAAAATTCTCATTCATAATTGTGTTTTGAAATTTATTAATTAAAAAATTTTATTACTTAAAAATTAGATAATCGTACAATTATAACACTTTCCTCATATTATTGTAAAATGTTGATAAGATTGAATTGGTTTTTAATAAGAAAATTGATTAAAAGTTATAATTATTACAGTCAAAACAAAAACATAACCTAAAAACAATAAAAATTTATAATCGAAAATTTTTGCTCTGCATATGTACATTGTATATTTAATTGTGTACATTTTCCAGCCTATTTTCAGCAAAATATTCATTCATGTATTAAATGTAGGTTCATATGTATGCATATGTTACCGTATGTGTACATCAAAGTAATCAAAATGTTTATTATATTTTTCACAAGTTTTAAAACAAAATTTTTATAGTTTTATTTATTTAAATCAATTGTACTTAAGGCAGCATAATAAATTTAAAAAAATTACTCATTTTCTTAGAACTTATATCGTGTTTACGTATTCTTTATTTTGTATATAGAAATGATTCTCAATCCTTTTCAGATTATGACACTTACTAATTTTATTTTAAAGGGCTGCGGTACACATTAATGTATACATGAAAACTGCAATACATGAAATATTGCAATAAAACATTTCTTTTCATAATGCATAATATGCTTATTGTACTCAAACATGAGTCTAATTATTATATAATGAAAGTTTATTGTACATGTTTTTTTAAGATTTTAATATATTAGAACGCATGTAAACCAATACGTATGTGCCTTGTGCATTTAAAAACTCAAATGACTAAAATTACTCTCAAATTCTGTACTAAAGAGAGACTCTCTTGAAATCTTACGGTATTTTCTTTATTCTTAAATTTATATAACAAATTTTAATTTAACCTCAATTTTCGGAGCATTTCCTTTTATTCTGTTTCTTTTATGAATACATACTGTAACACCTTTTTCGACTTGAGCTTGTTCAGTTTGAGAACCACGACTGTATATAAAATAATTTTATTACCTTTATAATTTGAGTAATAAATTTTATTATAATTTTAATATTGTACTTACTTACAATACATACATTGTAACAAACATATATTTTTATTCATAGAATATTTATTTTTTAATATATATACAATAATTGTATATTACTCAAACGCCGGAAGTGGAAATTAATCTTAAAATCAGTTAATATCTAAAATGTCAAATTTTTAATATAATGATATTCAATAAATTTATAAATTATGTATGTATTAATAGTGGATATTTTTTTTTTAACATTTGCACTAAAAATAACTAACCTTTCATAATATAATATAGAATTTATTTTATCTTCTTATATAAGTAATTATAATATGTAACGAAAATAGAAATTTGGAATTACCTTTAATTTAATGTCATCCAAATTTTGAGTACCTATATATACATACATGCATATAATATATACATATATGTATACATATAATAACGTACCTATACAATAGTGCTCCAATTGTAGAAGCCTCTTAAAACAGTCAGAATATTATTATGAATTATAAGAGATAACATTTTAGCTATGTAATAAGGTACTTCTAAGATAAAAATATAATAAAGGTTGAATTAAATTTCGCCGTATTTTAATTTTGAAAATTTTACATCCATATATAGAAATGGAACTTAATATAAAATTAATTTGATTTTAAAAAATTTATGTACTTGTACAAGTACTGATATTGAAAAGTTCAAAAAGTTAAAAGAACAAAAATTAGTATTAATTTAAAAATTTCTTAGATTTCACTCAAGTAGGCACACTCTAACATTTTAATCCTTCATATATTTGACGATCGGTTTTTGTAGAGAAATATTTTAGAGCTTATATAGGGATTAATCGGAGAAAATTAATAGAATTACGAATTCAAAAAAAAAAAAAAACAAAAATTAATTGGAGGTTAAGAAACCACTTGTATTTAAAAGCACTTAGTGACTTTAAACTTTCAAAAAAAAGAAAAAAAAATTTAAAATCATGAACTTATGACACATGAAGTGTTAAGGTTTATTGGGATATAAAAATTTTACGAAAAAAAAACTAAATAGAAGGTGTCTTTCTAGGCATTTCTTGTAATTTCTAAATTTGCATATTTCAATTGTAAGTCAAAATGATTGATTGAAGGAAACATCGGCCAATATGACCGATAGTACCGAGTGAAATGTTAGTGAATATATTATGTGTATATTATATGAAATGTGACCTCTAAATTTTTATATGAATATTTTGGGATTAATTAGATCTGT